TGCCCCAATAAGTTTTCATAGGGTTAGTGATGGAAATCTTTCTGGATACAAAAGCCAGTGGAAAGTAGTACAAATCATGTATCCCTTATATGAATAAAGAAACTTCTGGAGTACTACTACTCTTGTGGGGTTGAAGAGATCATTTAGGTAAATATTCCTTTTAAAGATGTAAAAGTAATGATGGTTTACAAACTTAAATTCTTTTACTAGCAAGGAGAGGGAGCTGGCCATTGAAGAGAGAGTACTGACAGACATGGCAAGAAAGTAGCATTTTAGGTTTAGATATAATTCATTTTAATGAATGTGTGGGAATACACAGAAGAGAAATTATATGGCTCCAGGTTACTTAGGATTGATCTAAGCCTCAGTTTATACAAACCAATTTAGACTTTCTTGAAGTATAAATTGAGCTATATCTTAATTATGAGAACACATTAATTAATATAAACAGGACCAGACCACCCCAAAAGATTCATAAACTAAGCATCAGCAGTGGCCCTGTATCATCACAGTTGCATTTTGGAAGGTGAAATTAACCATTTGGAAATTTGTATTCAATCACCTTCTTTATGCAACGTACTTATTTAGGCTGAAGATACAGGATAGAAAGGGGCTTTGCCCATATACACAGATGAACATGGACAAAGATAAACTTCAGATAATTAGAGCCATGCAGAGACTTTATGGTATTGTGAAGAGACTATTTTCGATTATGCGAACTAGGACGGTGTCCCAGAGGATGTGGCATTTAAGCAGAGATTTCAATAACAAAAACAAACTAGCCACGGAAATAAAATACAGGAGGAAGAAATTCTAGGCAGAGGGACTAGCTAGTGCAAAGGTGGGCACATGATGTGTGTGTGTTTCCCCCACAGAAGGTCAAGGAGAGAATGGTGGGAAGTTGGAAAGGTAGGGAGGGGCCGCATCATTTACATTTGGCCCCTTTATGATAAGGGGCATCTTTATTAAAGTAAATTGCCTCTAGATGGGTTATGAACAGTTGTCATAAAAGTGAACAGGTTTCATTTATATGTACCACCAGATGCTGCAGTGCAAGAATGTTTTCTGTAATGTTTGTTTTTATTTTTTGCCTTATATTAATGCTAGTGTATTTAAGTTCCCATTGTCAGCCCCTGAAGAGCAGAGCAGACATCTGCTCCTTATAGTACCTAATCCAGCGCCATGGCACAGAAATTCTCAATTAGTGAATCAATATTGATTGAATAGTGTAGACTAGTTAACTATGTTATTGCCACAAATGACCCCTAACTTGAGCTAGTTATTCCCACAAATAGTCCTCGTAGTTATAAAAAGGGAACCACAAGGCCTACTAGATCAGTGAAAATTCATTATTACTCAAGACAACTCCAAGTACATAATGTCTTAGGTAATACTCTATAAAAAGTGATTTGTCACAGACCTGTGCTTGCTTTCTTTTGAATTTCATGCTTCACACTCTGTGGGACTGTGTATTACATAAGTATCTCACAGAAGTATTACTATTAACCTATATTTACTTACAATACTGTCTTCTACAGCGTGATGTTAAAATGTTGCTTCTTTCCGTTTGATAAATTTTAGGGAGGAAAATGTTGGTCTTTTTTTTTTTTTTCCTCAGACAAGCTCTTAAGTCTGTTGCCCAGCCTGGAGTGCATTGGCCTTATCTTGGCTCACTGCAACCTCTGCCTCCCAGGCTCAAGTGATCTTTGTGCCTCAGTCTCCCGAGTAGTGAGGACTACAAGTGTGCGCCACTGCGCCTGGCTGATTTTTTAAATTTTTGTGTGCAGATGAGGTCTCACTATATTGCCAGGCCGGTCTTGAACTCCTGGGCTCAAGCGATCTACCTACCTTGGCCTCTCAAAGTGCTGGGATTACAGGTGTGAGCTACTACACCCAGCCTGTTCATTTTATTATAAATAATTCGTTGGAACTTTCTCAGTTATAGAATTGATATTAGCAGTTCAGTTTAGTCCAACCCTAAGACTAAAGGGATGATTTGTGACATCCTGACTCCCATTCTGTATCTCTTCATTCCAATTGGCACCATTCCCTAGGCCCACAGGATCTTCCCCTCTGCCCTCCCCTTCCCCCACCTGCCCTCACCTTTTCTGGTTACAAGCTTCAGACCATTCCACTTTCCTATCAAAATATGTCTTCTTACTTTCAAATTCCCAGGTCCCTGTTCTACTTCCATCACACTGTACTCCAGTACTTTAATCTGTGGTAATGATTCAGAGGGGCCAGAGAATATAAAGCTCGTTATACAGTTAGTTAAGCTGTTAGGCCCTCTTTCTGTCTTAAGCATCTTTCTTCTTGCAGACAGTCTCAAAGATTTTTCCTTTTTCCAGTAATCACCCATTTATTTCCAAGGAATGTTTCATCCATGCCTAGCTTTAGGAAACATGTTATTTCTTGGATTTCTATTAGAAGTATCTGTGGCAATTTGGACACCATTTTTTTCCTGACTTCATTATTCTTTCATGTTTTAGCCTGTCAATGCAAAAACTCTTTTATCCAGAGACGCATTATAGAACAGGAGTTTAAGGGAGAAGGAAATTAATACTGGCCATGGTCATTGTTCGTATTCTTTCTCCTTGTAGAAGACAACGGGCATAGCTAGAGTGGATTAGCTAACTGCAAAAAGGATTTGTAGGTCTAGGGATGAATGTAAATGTAAACAACTTAAATATGGATTCTATTATAGCTTCATATAGAGTATCTGTGACCACAAAACATATTCTTCTCAGTAGCTGATTTCCCACACCAGTTCAAAGAGCTACAGAAGAAATACTGTCATCAGGACACTACTGAATAATTTACTTGGATATATGCAGTAAAAGGATGCAAGTATATTTTCTTGCATTTTCTCCCTAAAGAGTTGCAAACAGGGCTGGATCTAGAAAATACTTTTTCATTTTTTGGGGGGTAATGCTCCTTACCATTTTTATGGTTTACATAGGCATTCCAATCCAACAATAGATTTGTTTTACAGCTTTCAAATTATTAATGACAAATTCAAGAAACAATTCTGCAGTCAAAGACTATACTCTAATTTTTTGTAGTTTTCCTTTAACTTAAAAAACATAGAAGTACCATCTTTGATACTACTGATGGGCCCAAACTTAAAAGATTTATCATGCAAAATAGTTTTAGCTATCATTTTTGATTACTAAAAACAAGCACTGACAGTAAATATTTTATACTATCACAAAAAGCAGACTAGCTTTCTCATAACTCAGCAAAGGTGTTATGGTTGAAAATAAAATTCAAAATAAATTGAACTGCTTAACTTATATTTACTAGAAGTTTATACTCAATAGTGCCATATGTAACAAGATCCTCAAAAAAAAAATAGATGCATACTAATTTAAAAACTACTGAGATGGTTATTTTCTTTTGAGATCGAGCCTCACTGTCACCCAGGCTGGAGTGCAGTGGCGTGATCTCAGCTCACTGCAACCTCTGCCTTCGAGGTTCAAGTGATTCTTGTGCCTCAGCCTCCTTGAGTAGCTGGGATTACAGTCACGCCATGCCTGGCTAAGTTTTATATTTTTAGTAGACATGGAGTTTCATCATGTTGGCTAGGCTGGTCTTGAACTCTTGACCTCAAGCAATCCACCCACCTCGGCCTCCCAAACTGCTGGGATTACAGGCGTGAGCCACCGCACCTGGCCAGAAAACTACTGAGATTCTGAAACAAATTTAGAAAAAACCATACAAACCAAAGTTTAAGGTAAATTTAAAAGGTTTTCCAATTGTTGAAATTTGCATTTCTCTCATCAGAGAAAAACGTTTAGAAAAACCAGCATCTCTCTCCTTTTATGCACTTAGAGATCTTTAAAATTGTTAGCTATTGTAGCCTGCTTGTTCGTTGGGTTTTGTAGTGTGTGTGTGTGTGTGTGTGTGTGTGTGTGTGTGTGTGTATATACATATATATAGGCCACCACTAATATACTTGGGGAGCTTTGCATTCACAGTAGCTCATGGATATGACTTTAACATGGACTATCATACTATCATGGTTATTGCAATTCAGTTTTCTTTTGAAGAATAGTTATAATACAAACATTCCTTGTAGTAAATGTTTGTATTACGGGTTTTGTTTTGTTTTTTTTGTAACAAAGAATGTTTTCTACCTTTGTTACCATCTAACAAGCAATTCACAAAACCAAGAAAGAACCAAATCTTTGATTTACATTTCTGCTGACCTAGTGTGTGGACTCTGGCAGAGGAATAGCATTGCTGCATGGTGCTCAGAAAGTGTGGGAAAATGGAACAAAAAGCTTGAATCCATTTTTTTTTTTCTGCTTTTACATCAGAATTTATATTTAGGTTATACTTTTCTAGAGGAATGAACAATACATCTCTTATCCACAATATGTAATTTGCTAGTTTTGTGTTTAAAGCTTTTCTTATTTCCTGTTCTACGTCTGTGAATTAAGGATTTTAAGCAGGGGCAGAACTATAGGATCAGCAGGTAATCATTCTTGGATACAGATATTAAGTACACGTAGCATGCTTGTCTTCACTCTTAGGTCATAAGCTCCACGAGAGCAGGGGACAATGATCACTCCAATCCTTGCTGCTTTCCCAGCAATATAGCACATGGCAGAATTCAAACATTTGTTTAATAAACAACAACAACAAAAAACCTTTCATATTACGAGAAAGACATCTGCTGCCCTGAAAGAACTGATAAATTATTATGTAGTTTACTTTCAAAAAAAAGAATATGATATGGTTGACACATAATGAAGTAGAATTTATGCTGTTGCCCTGCTTCTGTCATAAACATGACAAAACATGACAATGGGAAGTCACTTGAGTTCTCTGGATCTCAGTAAATAAATTTATGACATTAAGGGATTTAACAAAAATGAAACCCAGTTGGAAAATTGTACAAGTCACTCAAGTTCTAAATTGCTTCCCAATGCCAAAATCACTTAGTGAGATACATCAAAGACCACAGAACTTTCGGTTTACAAGTAACAGACAAAGAATACTAGAAAATTTAAAATTTTTAATAAATGTGCTTTGTTCACAAAATGTGAAAAAATACAACAAACACACACGTACATTTTCAGGTATGCTACCTCCCACCACTTGGCAACTATGGTAAAACCATATGATCTAGTCGTGATCCTGAAGAATCCAACCAAATGATTACCATTTGTTTTTGAAACAACCAAATTATTTTGGAGAACCTGCTGTGAATGTGACAGGAGGCCTTATAACTTCTTTATATCCAAAATGAAATAATTCTTAGGAGTACCCATACAGTATTAGAAGGCCCTATTAACTTCCACTTGTTATTACATACATGATCTGGCATCAAGCTGCAATGACTGCTTATACTTCAATACTTATACACTGAATTGGCTTTGGTGGAATGTATATCAGTTTAAATCTGTGCCAACCTAATTTGAATAAGCTGAATTTACAGTAACAAATGATATAAATTCAAACAAATTTATACTAAGTGGTAGTAGGTTTTATAAAGAGACTTCCTCAGAGTACTACGTAAAATACATCATGCACACTTTGGAGCATAAGCAGAATCAACATCTGTAAACAATCAGAATTTATAGCACCAACATTTTAGCTATAACACAAAGGCTGACTCCAGGGTCATACTACACCAGCCTTTCAAAAGTGCTGTTTTCATTTACTTTCAAAGCATTTTCATTTGGTGTATTGTTTTCTTTTCTCTTAAGATATTTACCCAAGTCAAAAAGCAAACAGTATGGTAAAAGTTACTACCAAAATTGTTCAAAATAGTTCTGTATTATCAACACAGTGCTTTTTTTCCCCCTTCTCTTGGGGAAGCTACAAGGCATAATCCTGTAGTGCTTAACTGGAAACAACAGTCAATCCTAAATATTAAGCAATCTTATGCTATTGAAAGTAAATGAAAAATTTTGAGTTACTTGTGGCATATTTGAGCAACCAATATTTATTGCATTTAATCAACTGACTTTAAAAAATCACAATCTTGTTACTTTCATTAATTTAGCAATGTGAAATTTAATTTGAAATACTGGGTACATACACTCAACCATTTATATCATAAAGGGTAAGTTTTATATTTCTAAATAAAGTTTGACATTCAAAGGTACTACGGCAATTCACAATAAGCACAAAAACATCAGCTTTACCAGAGTAAAGAAGTGCAGTTTATGAAATTTAGGATCAACTATTGAAAATGCAAGTTTCCTTTAAAAACATACAAACATACGCACAACATTAACCATGAAATCTGAAACTGTGATATTTCAGTGCAAAAACCTCAGTATGAGGTAATTTTAATGTAATAACCACTTGAAAAAAAAAAATCCACACAGTGGCACTCTTAAAAATGATAGTTTCCGTGACAATTGCTGGCTGACAAGACAATGTGGACTAAATGTTCTTAACTGTTTAAACTAATCTTGTCTTGTTTGGACATATATTTTTCCCTAATCATTTGCTTCTGATTCAGAAACACAGAAAGGCATTTATTAATGTGGAAAGGGAAAATTCCCACAGCCAACTAATTGATATATTCAAAGAAAATTTTCTGATAGAGTTTAGATAGAAATTAAGATACCAAAAGGTCAAAACCATTTTATGAGATCACCAACAGAGGATTAATTTTAAGTTTTTCCATATAATTTGAAACTTGTAGTGCGGCACCTCCTTCACAGAAAGGTGAGGACCCTATCAAAGTTGGTTTCAACAGAACATAAACTCTTCCAAGTGCAAACCCTTTCAAAAAGGTGTTTTAGGTCATTATTGAGTATTACATTGTTCCTTGCTTAAATAAAACATTTTGTAAATGAAACCTAAGTTTAAGAAAAGTAAAAGTGAACTCTCAGGTAAATATACTTCACACCAAGGCCCAAATCAACAAAGTTATGAAAATACTACTTTGGCAATGGTGTTTAATGGATAGGGCTAATGAAATTAGAATACATACTTTGGGGGAAATCTCTCCCCCAATGTCTGATGCTGTCAAATGAGCTTTTAATAGAAGGAAGAAAGAAAAAGAATTATCACCAATTACAAAAAGTTCAGGAAATATAAAGGAACATAAAATGACTTTCTGTAACATCACAATTTTAGTTAGAAAAAAGAAAAAGATAAGTGCATCACAAAACAACTAACCGATCTATTTTTCTGTATCACATTTAACTTGTGAGTCATCAAAGTGCAATCTACAGCTTTCTACATCTTAAAGTTTCCCATTCAATGGTTTATAGTCAACACTGAAAAGTTGAAAAGGAAAACATATAGCAAATTATGCTTGTTTTCACAATAGCACTAAAGAGAAAAAGGTACCTTTCTATGATAGTGCTAAATGCTAAAGTAACAGAAGTTTCTGCTATGACATGAGTCACTCTGCATGAAACTTTAAGCTTTCTATATAAGAATAAATTTTAAAATTGAGAAGTAGAAAAAAATAGCAAACTCTGTAAACCTCTGCATTTCTTTTATGCAAACCAGGTTTTCAGTACTGAGTTCATGTTAGTATTTCCAATTGGTGTAAGCAATTAGTTTAGGAGCCTGGACTGAAAGGGCCTTTTGCTTCTATATTAACTTAAAAGTAATATGGGGTCCTCTAGCTCATAGAAAGGAATAGAGCTGGCTTGACTTTCTCCAGAATCTGAGTCATATGGAGCATCAGGGAGTTCTGTGAAACCATATGCTAGTTGTTCATCTTCTATATCTGATCGAACATAGCAGGAAGGATTAGAATATTCCTCATCTTCTATACTGTTGAAATCTTGAGGAATATATAACATTCCTGGGTAGTTCCTACTAACCAAGTCACTTGTGGTTTTTAGAGAGATTTTCCTAAATGCCATCAGATGCATATGTGAAAATTTTGAGTACTTGAAGCGTTTAAAGCCCAGAGACTCTATAGCAATCTTCCAGCTTTTCATCATCATAGCATGACGGTTCTGATGGGAGGAATCAGGTGTGATGATAAGTAATAAACCATTTAACACTAACAGTTCATGGGCTTTCTTGCAGCAAATCCATCGCTGGTAAGGAGATGGAAAATAAGAAAGGAGGAGAGAGAAAACAACCACATGGAAAAGTTCTCCAGGAAGAGAATCAATAGGGTTTTTCAGCTGCTTCAAAAAAGCATCTATAGCATCCTGTGCAAGCTGGAGTGGTTGCTGAAGCTGTAAGTTCAGGAAATCACATTTATAGACACTCTGCAGAAACAGAAAACAAGGCATATTAAGAACTTCAAGATTATTTCCACTTTAATACATAGACTTTTCAGCAAACCATTTCACATATCATAGTAATAATTCCAGCATTGATTATACATTTTTCCTTTTAAATTTTAAACGAACAGATTTATTCAACCACAACTTTTACAAAAATCTCAAAGTAGTTAAGTCCAAAGACTTGCTAATCATCATTTAAACATATATTTTTGCCTAACAATTTAAAATGGGAAATAATTTAAGTGTGTATTTTGGGTTAGGACTTACATGAATTTTAATTTGGGTAGGAGTTTACAGGAATGACATTTCTATTTACATTCAGTTTAACATTTACAGTTACCAAAAACAAGCTAATATAAAAACTCTAAACAAGAAATACCATGAAATAAAGATGAATCAAATAAAGAGGATAATGAAAGAGGCATTATAACATTTGTACAAGCAGAATGATTCCAAAACTTAAGTTATTTGAAACCATTAACTTTAAGCATTTAAAAAGTAACCCTCAACATTACTTTTATTTTATTAAAAAGCTAATCCCTGGTTTGGAACAAACTAAATTTAGTTAGACAAATGGCCATGGGAAACAATACAACTAAAGTAATTAACAACATTATATAATTTGCTAAATCTTAAAACTACGGAAATGGACCAGAAGAAAGCAATTTTAAAATTAGACAAAAATTACTCTGTCATATACTAATAGTTATTAACGAAGATATGACCTAATACCTTAATCCCTCACTCATGTTAGTGTATATACAAGCTGGCCACATAGTCATCTGGACTGTTTATTAGGAAAAGTGATATGTAATGTTCTAGTACCAGAAAAAAAGATGCTTTTCTTCTTCCCTTTTTCTTAAAGGCAGCTTTACTCATGTATAAGTGACACAAAAGCGTAAGTCTGGCAAGTTGTGATGTATTTTTACACTCATGAGACCACGGGCATGGTCAAGTTAATGAATAGATCCAACATCCCATAATTTTTCTTATGCCCCTTTATAGTCCCTTCCTTCTCTTCCCCTGCCAGCAGGCAATCATTGATGTGATTTCTATCACTATATTCAAGTTTGTATTTCCTAGAATTTCATATAAATAATAATTTTGAGATTTTTCTTGCAGGTATTAATAGTTTATTCCTTTTTAAATTGCAGAATGGTATCCCATTGTATCAAGGATGTACCACAGTTGGTTTATCCATATACATCTGTTTATGGATATCTGGGTTGTTTCTAGTTTTTGGTTATTACAATTCAAGCTGCTGTGAGTATTCCCATTCATGTGTTTGAATCAACATTCTTTAATTTGTCTTGGGGAAATATCTTGGGTGGCTAGATCATACAGTAGGTGGTGTAGTAAGTTTAATTTTTAAATAACTCCCAACTGATTTCAAAAGTGGTTATGTAGTTTCATGTTCCCACCAGGAGTATGTGAGTTCCAGTTCCTCCAAATCCTTATCAACTCTTGGTATAGCTAGTCTATTTCATTTTAGTAATTGTTATAGGTGTGTAGTGGTATTGCAGTTTTAATCTACATTTTCCTAATGAGTTAGTGATGTTTATCATCTTTTCCCAGATTTATCTGCCATCCAGATATCTTCTGAGTTAAAGTGTTCAAATATTTTGCCCATTTAAAAATAATTGGGTTTCCTTAAATTTTAGATATTTTCTTACTGGGTTTTGAGAGTTCTTTATATATTCTTGATGCAAGTCCTTTATGATATATGACTTGGAAATATTTTCTTAGTATCATGTGGCTTATCTTTTCATTCTTTTAACAGTGTCCTTTGAAGAGCTGAAGTTTTAATTTTGATGAAGACTAATTTATCAATTTGTTATTTCTCAGATGTTGCTTTCGAAGTCAGGTCTAAGAAGTCTTGTCCTATCCCAAGGTCATAAAGACTTTTTTTTCCAAAATGTTTTCCTTTAGTAGTTTTATAGTTTGTTTTTTTCATTTAGGTCTATAATACATTTTGAGTTTTTTTTTTTTTTTTTCCAGATGGAGTCTCACTCTGTTGCCCAGGCTGGAGTGCAGCAGTGTGATCTTGGCTCACTGCAACCTCTGCCTCCTGGGTTCAAGTGATTCTCCTGCCTCAGACTCCTGAGTAGCTAGGACTACAGGCACACACTACCATGCCTGGCTAATTTTTGTATTTTTAGTGGAGACGGGGTTTCACCATATTGGCCAGGCTGGTCTCGAACTCCTGACCTTGTGATCCGCCCACCTTGGCCTCCCAAAGTGCTGGGATTACAGGCATGATCCACCGTGCCTGGCCAAGTTCATTTTTTTTTATATGGAGTGTGGTATGGTCTGAAGTTTCTTCTTTTGTATATGGATACCCCTTTGCTTCAACACCACTGTGCAAAAGACGATGCTCTCCATCTTGGGCAAAAATCAGGTATCTAAGTTTGGGCCTATTTGTGAACCATCTATTATATTTCACTGATATTCTTGAACATCAATACCACACTGTCTTGAATACTGTAGCTTTATAATTTTGAAATCAGGTAGTGTTACTCTCCAACACTGTCCTTTTTCAAAGTTGTTTTGAGGTATTAATTCTAGGTCCTTTCAATTTCCACACAAATTTCAGAGTAAGTTTTTTAATTTCTACAAAAAAGCCCACAAGAGTTTGGCGAGGACTGCACTGATTCTATACAGATAGAGTCTCACTCTGTCACCTAGGCTGGAGTGCAGTGGTGTGATCGTAGCTCACTGCAACCTCCACCCTCTGGGCTCAAGCAATCTTCCTACCTCAGGCTCCTAAGTAGCTGAGACTACAGGCAAGTGCCACCACATCTGGCTAATTTTTTTTTTTTTTTTTTTTTTTTTTTAGAGACAGGTTTTTGCCACATTGCCCAGGATGGTCTCGACCTTTTGGATACCAGCAATCCACTTACCTAGGCCTCCCAAAATGCTGGGGTTACAGGTGTGAGCCACTGCACCCAGCCAGGTCATCTTTACTTTCTCCTAATTTGTGGTTTGCAGCATTCGGATTTTTCTACTTTTGTCAGATTTATGAGCTACATATTTTATATATGTTTACATATAAAATATTTCATATTTTTGATGCTAGAGTATATGGTACTGTTTTTAATTTAAATTTCTGATTGGTTGCTGCTAGTATATACACACAAATATCTATTTTTATTTATCTTTAAAGAGTTTAAACAAGAAGAGAAAATCTTTTTAGCTGTATAGTTACCACTTCTAGTGTTCTTCATTCCTTTGTGTAGAGCCATATTTCTACCTGGTTAAAGCACTTCCAACTTAACATTTCTTGTAATATAAGCCTGCTAATATTGAATAATTTCAGTTTTTAGATATCTGAAGAAAATCAATTTCATCTTCATTTTTGAAAGATATTTTGGCTGGGTATAAAATTCTAGGTGACTTTTTATTTCAGTACTTTAAGGTGTCTTTACAATTTCTGGGAGCTTTTAAGACTTTATCACTAGTTTTAGAAGTTTGATTTGATGTTCCTTGGTGTAATTTTTCTTCATGTTTCTTTTGTTTGGAGTTTGTTGGGCTTCTCTGAATTTGTGAGTTTAAAGCTTTCATCAAATTGGAAAGTTTTTGGCCATTATTTTTTTAACCCCACCTTTTGGGGGATTCCAATTATGTTTATATTTAGCTGCTTAGATTTGTATCACTGATGCTCTTCTATTTTAAAAATTGTGTTTCATTTTGGATAGGTGTTATTATCTTCAATTTACCTTTCCTTCTGCAACATCTAATATGCATTAATTCTATCCGGTATGCATTTTCACATCACACATTGTAGTACTGTCTCTAGAACAGTTTCTTCTTAGCTTTTTATACTGTTTTGATATTTTTAAAATAATAACACTGTATTGAAGCATAACATGTATAACGGAAGAATATAAACTGTGTAAATGTTTAGCTTAAGGAATTTTCCCAAACGGGTATTATTTCTATTTTAATGTCCTTGTTTCTGTGTCAGTTTAGGGTTGGTCGTTGTTGGCTGATTTATCTCCTCACTGTGGGTCCTATTTTCTTGCTGCTCTGCATGGTTATAATTTTTTTTGGATGCTAGACATGGTGAATTTTACCTTGGTGGGTTCTACATAACTATGGATTGCTATAAATATTTCTGAACTGTGTTCTGGGATGTAGTTAAGATACCTGGAGACAACCTGAACTTTTTGGGTCTTGCTTTTAAGATTTGTTACGTGGGACTAGAGCACTAGCGTTTAGTCTAAGGCAAATTATTCTCCATTATTGAGGTAAGACCCTTCTCTGTGTACTCTATTAAATGTCTGTGAATCTTGAATGTTCCAGTATGGCTGATGGGAACAGGTACCATATTAGTACTTCCCTGTGTGAGTGCTGGCCACTGTAACCTCTAATCCTTTTGGACAGTACAGTCTCATGTAGTCTTCTCATATACATGTGTGCTGATCTGTACTCAGCTGAGTATTCAAAGGGGGACCTTTTGCAGGCCTCTGGAGTTTTCCTTCTATGGCTTTCTTATTTTCAGTAGACCATTCTAGAAACACGAGCTGCCTCGGTCTCTGAGGACTCACAACTCCATCTTCACAAGTCACGGAATCACCTGAACTCTGCTAGGGTTTCTCTCTGTGCTACATCCTGGAAACTCTCTCAAGGCAATATCCTAGAGTAACTGTAGCGCTTGTCTCATTTGTTTTCCATCTCTCAGAGATCACTGTCCTTCATTACCTGATGTGCAGTGTCAAATTATTTCAAATATTTTGTCCACATTTTTGTTGCTTCAAGTGGAAGAGGATAAAGCTGGTCTATGTTATCCCATCTTGGCTGGAAGAGTAAGTCCCTTTACTCTGTTTTAAAATTATAGGATTCTGAACTGTGAAACTCTGATTCTACACTTAAGTTACTTATAGCAGTTCTTTTGTCTTCCCTGATGACTATACAATTCAGTGTTTATAACCCTATCCATAGATAGATTTAATATTAAGCTTAAGGATCAGATCACATGGTCATGATGTCTCAGCAGTCCCTGAATCATGTATGTCTTGAGGAAGGAAGGGAAGAGAATTCATGCATGAAGCCACTTGGGCTTTAAAACTAGTTCCTGATGGCACAGAAATTCTCTGCAGTGGTAAGCTAAGAACAGTGATTTTAGCATAGAGAAGACGAAAGTAGAACTAACAGGAATGGTTTTAGGACTTGCTTGTTCCTCAGTGTTATACCGATTTAATCATGCTCATCAAACTGATACATAATTAAAGTTAAATCTTCATGCAGGAACTTACCAGTAGTAACAACAAACATTTATTTAGCAGGCACTACATAAGAGGTACTATGCTTGGTGCTTTAAACACTTTTTTTTCCCCCAAGAAAACATTACAACATCCTATGAAATGTGGTCCACTACTAACCCCATTATACAGGTGAGAAAACTGAGGATCAGAGACTAGAAAAAGGTGATGGAGAGGTTCAAACCTAGGTTGGAAATATTCTATTCTTTTATTTAAAAAAGTATTAAATATACTAGGCACTCTTCTAGGTACTGGGAATACAGCAGTAGAGGGAAAAAATCCCTAATAACTGATATATTAATATTCTAATCCATACTTTAAAAATAACATTAAAATGCATTTTATAAATATTTAAATGCATTTAAAAAAATTTTTTGTGTCTGCAGTTCTATCAAGAGTAAAATGGTAAACATAATGAATTAATGTTATTCTGGAAAAAAATCTTTTTCTGATATAATGTGCCTACTTTAGAGCCATCTATCTTTAAAAAATGCCTTTAACACAAACTCTTGGCATCACATGATTAAGGTAAAAGAAAGTTCAAGCTGGCTGGGTGTAGTAGTTCATGCCTGCAATCCCAGCACTTTGGGAGGTTGAGGCAGGTGGATCACCTGAGCTCAGGAGTTCGAGACCAGCCTGACCCACATGGTGAAACCCAGTCTCTACTAAAAATACAAAGTTAGCTGGGCATGGTGGTGCATGCCTGTAATCCAGCTATTTCAGAGGCTGAGGCAGGAGAATTTCTGGAACCCGGGAGGCATAGTCTGCAGTGAGTGATCACGCCACTGCACTCAAGCCTGGGCAACAAGAGCGAAACTCCGTCTTAAAAAAAAGTTCAAGCTGATAAGGAGGTGATCCTGCTTCACTGAATTGAAATGATAGTGTCATAATAACTGACCCATAGGAAATGTTCTCAAAAGAAAGGATAGAATCTATCATTTACTGAGTTCCTACAATTTACCAGGCCAAGTGTTAAGTAGTTTCATTGACTCAAGTACAAACAAGCTGGATTTAATAAAGTTCTGGCTGATGCAAAAGCCCTTGCCTCTTTCTACCATTCCATAATGGCTCTACAACACTATATATTTCAGAAAAAGATGCATTAAAAGAAAATAATAAACCAAATACAACAAAATGCAAAACCCAAACACTACAGCTATGTGGAATTCTGTAATCTACTGAAGTTTCTTTTTATTGTTAGATGGAGTCTCACTGTGTCGCCCAGGTTGGAGTGCAGTGACGCGATCTAGGCTCACTGCCACCTCTGCCTCCCAGGTTCAAGCGATTCTCCTGCCTCCGCCTCCTGAGTAGCTGTGATTACAGGTGCCCGCCACCATGCCCAGTTAATTTTTTTATTTTTTAGGTTTTGCCACGTTGGCCAGGCTGGTCTCAAACTCCTGACCTCAGGTAATCCACCCATCTTGACCTCCTAAAGTGTTGGGATTACAGGCATGATCCACCATGCCCAGGTGAAGTTTCTTAATTGCTAAGCTTTTACTCTAACATAGTTCTAGATTATGGCTATTTAGATGATAAGGAAAATAAAGACAAAATTTGCTTAAATGCTCAATTTTTCACAAAATGTATTTAGTTTAGAATAGAAATTTCTTCTTAATGGGTACACATGAAATACGTTTGCTATTTTAGGGATGCAAAGACAGTGCTTTTCTTTTGTAAATATACACGTAAAATATTGAACTCTGAAACAAAACTATGCATACCTCTACAGCAGGTACAATGTCTATGCCAACAGTTAGAAATTCTTCAAACTTCAGAAATGGGTTAAAGCAGCTGCCAACATCAAGTAATCTGATTTTTCCTGAGGCTTGTAGCAACCTAAAAATACATATTTTATAAGAACAAAATCAAACATGAGAATTTAATAAATCACATAGATTATCAGTTTTTTAACTTGTTGGTCTCAGGACCCTTTTACACATTTAAAAATTACTGAGGCCCCCAATGAACTTTCATTTCTGTGAGTTATATCTATTAATAATGATCATATTTGAAGTTAAGATGAACAAGTCTTAAAATATATTCATTTATTAGACTTAAAAAGGACAGTAAAAAAGTACAGCCTTGTTTTATATATATTTACTTATTTTTTAAAAATTGAGACAAGGTCTTGCTATGCTGCCCAGGCTGGTCTTGAACTCCTGAGCTCAAGTGATCCTCCAGCCTCCGTCTCCCAAAGTACTGGGATTAGAGGCATGAGCCACTGTGCCTGGCCCCCTCCTCCAACCCCCATTTTAAAAAAATATATTTTTTCAAGTCTCTAATGTCTGGCTTAATTGAAAATGAATGAATTCTAATATCTACTTTTGCATTCAGGCTGCTGCAATATCACATGCTATGTAGTCTCTTGGAAAACTCTACCCTCATGAGAGAGTGAGAGTAAAAACCAAATGAGAATCTGTAACAATATGTAATACTATACACACTACTAGATACTCATTCTAATCCTTATTGGGCTATGGTTAAGGAGTTCTCGAATCAGAAAGGCTAAGATCATAACCTGACTCTGACCCTTAACATGTAATACGGGGATAATAGTGGTACTCACCCTTAGACTTTTTTCCAGAATTAATAAGATAATACATTTCATACGTGACCCTATGCCTAGTACATGGTAAGTGCTTAAAAAGTGGTAGGTATCATTGCTCACTATTACCATGTTATATAAAAAATTTGTATTTCTTCCACTAATGGTTTTCCCAAGTATAGTAAAAGTAGAATTTGCTATATGCTAAATTCTGTAGTATAAATTCTAGTAAACTGAGTAGCAAAACATTTCTGAGAGTCTTAAAAAATATATACTTCTTATAAATTGAATTTTCTATCTCAATGAAGTAACTTAAACCATTCAAGTTACTTCAACATTATGGAACAATCACCAATAACTTAATCATATCATGGATGAGCTTAATAACTGATCAATTCTCAGTAATATACTTAGTCTATTTCAAATTATTTGGCTTAGCTCCTTATTTTTTTATTTGCATAAAGTATACACAGTTTAAACAATAGTCACTCAGTGAGTGACCACGTAATTACCACTCAGGTCAAGACATAATGCCTACACCCTGGAAACATGATCCTCCCTGATGACATCCCCCACACCCTTCCAAAATGGTAGTCACTATCCTTATTTTAGTCACTTATCCTTATTTATGTCACTTACCCTTATTTATTCCCTTGATTTCCTTTTATAGTCTTAAGTACCTATGACTGAGTACTAGAGACTTAAGTACCTATGTCTACAGTTTAGTTTAAACTATGTTTTGTGATTTGCTGCTTTCATTTGATGTTATGTTTTTGAGTTGTTTGTGCTTCTATAATTCACTTTTACTGCTGTATAGTATATACTTAAGACTTTTATTAGTATGGCATTAAGTCTAAAGATCATTTAAGGAGAATTAACATCTTTACAATATTCAATCTTCAAATCCATGAACATGAATAGTTATCCATTTACTTAAAAAAACTGTCAATAGTTTTGATCATTTTCTCTAAAAAGTTTCCTCACATCTTTTGTTGGAGTTATATTCCTTGGTATTTCCTAGTTTTTGATGCTTTTATTATCTCTTTTCCCATGGAACACTTTACTGTTTTTTTTTTTTTTTTTAATTTCATTTTTTATTGTTGGTTACACAGATGCAATTGACTTGGATACAACAGTCCCCCCTTATCTGCTGTTTCACCTTTTGTGGTTTCAGTTACCCATAGTTAACCATGGTCTGAAAATGTTCAACAGAAAATTCCTGAAATAAGCCAATTCATAAGATTTAAATTGCGTGACATTCTGAGTAGCATGGTAAAATCTCACACCGTCAGACCCAGGACATGAATCACATCCATTTGTCCAAAGTATCCACACTTTTTACATTAGCCATTAACAGGATATCTTATGATCCTGATATCTAACAATGGACATAGGCATGGCTTCATGATTTAGGATTACTGAAAGCAGATGATCCTCCTCCTCCTGATATATGGTCAGAAGGTCAACAGTAGCCTAATGCCATGTCACAATGCCTATGTCATTCACCTAACTTCATCTCATTGTATAGGCATTTTATCATCTCACATCATAAGGGTAAGTGAAATACAGTAAGATACTTTGAGATACCATACTCACATAATTTTTATAGTATTTTGTTATAATTGTTCTATTTTATTGTTATTCTTATTGTGCCTAACTTATAAATTAAACTTTATCATGGGTATGTATATATAAAAACATAGTATGTATATAGGATTCAGTAATAGCTGTGGTTTTAGGCCTCCATGGGGGGTGCTGGCATGTATTCTCTGTGAAGGAGGGGTGGCTACTATGCATATCTTTTTTAGATGCAGCAGCTTTACTAAATTTATCTCGATTGCTTATCTGTATATTATTTTGTGAACTCTAGGTACGTAAGTTCCTAAACTGTGAAAAATGACATTTGTGTTTCACCCACCTACCCATCCATTTTTTTCCCCCTTACCACTCTGCCCAGGACTTCCAATATGTTGGTAGACAGAAGTGGGCAAGTGGATGGACACTATTAATCCTAGATCAGAAGGAACATTCCAATGTTTCACCATTAAATATAATAACTGGTATAGGTTTTATATACTACCCTTGATAAAGTTGAAGTTCCTTTTTTATAAACTTTTATTTTAGGTCCAGGGGTACATGTACAGGTTACATAGGTAAACTACGTGTCTCAGGAGTTTGGTGTATAAGGAGTTTGGTGTACTGATTATTTTGTCACCCAGGTAATAAAGAGAGTTCCCAATAGGTAGGTTTTTTATCCTCTTCCCTTCTCTGTCTCCACCCTTAAGTAATCCCCAGTGTATGTTGTTTCCCTCTTTGGGTCCACGTGTTCTCATCACTTAGCTCCCAGTAATAAGTGAGAATGTGAGGTATGTGGTTTTCTGTTCCTGAATTAGTTTGCTTAGGATAATGACTTCCAGCTCCATCCATGTTGCTACAAAGGACATGATTCCATTCTTTTTTTATGGCTGCATGGTATTCTATGGTGTACATGTACCACGTTTTCTTTATCCAGTCTACTGTTGTGGGGGACTTAGGTTGATTCTATGTCTTTGCTATTGTGAACTGTGCTGTGATGAACATGTGTGTGCATGTGTCTTTATTGTAGAATGATTTATAGTTCCTTGGGTATATACCCAATAATGGGATTGCTGAGTCTAGTGGTAATTTTAAGTTCTTTGAGGAATTGCTACACTGCTTTCCACAATGGCTGAATTCATTTATATTCCCACCAGCAGTGTATTAGCATTGCCCTTTCTCAGCAACCTTGCCAGCAGCTGTTATTTTCTGACTTTTTAGTAATAGCCCTTCTGATGCCTGTGAGATGGTGTCTCATTGTGGTTTTGATTTGCATTTCTCTAACGTTTAGTGATGTTGAGCATTTTTTCATATGCTTGTTGGACACGTTTGTCTTTTTTTGAGAAGTGTCTGTTCATGTCCTTTGCCCACTTTTTAATGGGGTTGTTTTTTGCCTGTAAATTTGTTTAAATTCTTTATAGATGCTGGATATTGGACCTTTGTCAGATGCATAGTTATATTTTCTCCCGTTCTGTAGATTGTCTGTTTATTCTGTTGATAGTTTCTGTTGCTGTGCAGAAGCTCTTTAGTTTAAGTAGGTCCCACTTGTCAATGTTTTTGTTGCAATTACTTTTAGCATCTTTGTCATAATCTTTCCCAGGTTTTATGTCCAGAATGGTATTTCCTAGGTTATCTTCCAAAGTTTTTCTAGTTGTATATTTAAGTATTTTTAACTGATCTTGAGTTTATTTTTGTGTATGGTATAAGAAAGAGGTCCAGTTTCAATCTTCTGTATATGGTTAGTTACCCAGCACCATTTATTGAATAGCGAGTCCTGTCCCCATTGCTTTTGTCAACTTTATCTAAGATCAGATGGTTGTAGGTTTTATTTCTGGGTTCTCTATTCTGTCCATTGGTCTGTGTGTGTTTTGGTACCAGTACCATGTTGTTTTGCTTACTGTAGCCTTGTAGTATCATTTGAAGTTGGGTACCATGTGATGCCTCCAGCTTTGTTATTTTTGCTTAGAATTGCCTTGGTGATCTGGGCTCTTTTCTGGTTCCACATGAATTTTAAAATAGTTTTTTTTTTTTAATTATGTGAAGAATATTCATTGGTATTTTGATGAAAATAGCATTGGATCTGTAAATTGCTTTGACAGTATGGCCATTTCAACAATAATGATTCTTCCTATCCATGAGCATGAAATAAATGTTTTCCATTTGTTTGTGTAATCTCTGATTTGAGTATTGTTTTGCAATTCTTGTTGCAGAGATTTTTCACCTCCCTGATTAGCTGTATTCCTAGGTATTTTATTCTTTTTGTGGCAATTGTGGATGGGATTGCATTCTTGATTTGGCTCTCAACTTGAATGTTGTTGATGTATGTGAATGCTACTGATTTTTGTACATTTATTTTGTATACTGAAACTTTGCTGAAGTTGATCATCAGATCTAGGAGCTTTTAGCAGAGACTAGGGGTTTTTCTAGATATAGAATCATGTCATCTGCAAACAGAGATAGTTGGACTCTGCTCGTATCTGTTCCTTTTATTTCTCTTGCCTGATTGCTCCGGCCAGGAATTCTTGAAGTCATTTTTATGCTTAGCTAGGGTGGTTTTTCTTTTTTTGACACAAATCCACGCAGAATTTTATCAAATGCATTCTATATATTTGTGCAGCTATGACTATGTGGTAGAAAAAAATTCATTAATTGTACAGTGTCAAATCAATCTTGCATTCTTTGGAAGGCCTTAATTTGGTTTCTATATATAATTCTT